ACGGGGGTGGGGGGTAATAGGAGTCTATGTAAGAAAAAGCCCCAAATATCGGGACTGTCCCTATAAAATCGGGACATCTGGTCACCCTACCCTCGTGGACCATTGGCCTTGCAACATCTTCCAAAAGCCTCTGCTTCTGGGAACTGTGGGATAGATACCTAGAGGGCAGTGTGGGTATGGGGAAAACTGTAACAGGTCTGCAGCATGGACACACTGAACCGACTGTGCTTAAACCAGATCTCTCCTATGGCTTCAGTTAGAAGCAGCTCTGTGAGTGTAGACTCAGCCGAAGAGAGCTCGGTCTGGACACTCCATGTTTGCTTTAGTCTGTGTTGGCCTCAGTGAGGACTGGTGCCTTTGGCTAAGTCAGGAGAGGCTGGTGGGATAATGAGTCATTAGATGCACCGTTCACAAGTGTTTTAAGCTGGACTACTGCAGTGCTTCTATGTGTAAGGCAGTGGAGAAGGGTCGGGTGGGGGGAGGGCAGCAGAACCAGGGTGTCTGTTAGTGGGGGGCAGGAGACCCAAGCATCTAAAACCCACATGTATAGTGGGCCAAAATGTTCTGACCAAAAACTTTTCTTGCTAGGAATGAACTGAAAACATTTTTTGCAGGAATGTCATTTTAGTCTAAATTTTTCGACAGGACGTTTTGAAACAAAATTAACTTGTTTGTTTCATTTTTAATTGAAATTTTCATTTCATTTTGTTTTTCGAAACCTGAAAAAGATTGATGATTTTGAAAGATTTCTACATGTATATTGTATTAATTCCGTTCTGTTAGTCAAAATGAAACGTGATCTGGTTGAAATCATGTGTTTTGACAAGACTGAAAGGGGATATTTCCAAATATTTCGTTTTGCTAAAAATTCCAAGATTTTGACTCTTTGTCCCAATTGGGGGCGAAACCAAATTTCAAAATCCCAGAACTTTCAATGGGACAGAAATTCATTTTTTGGCCCACTGTAGTTAGGACTGTTCAGGAAACCAACATTAAAACTGTGGTTCCCCAGCTTAAGAGAGCTCGGCCCTTTGTTATATCTGTTTGGAGCCTGCCAAACTAGACTTTCTTTAAAATCCTTAGAAGAAATGATATGATTTGAGGCCAGGTGCTGAGGGGCAGGAGATTTGTAATTGGAAATTGTTGACCTTGCCATGGGAATCAGCAGAGACATTTAGCATCTTGTATGTGCTGTGGATTTGTATCTCCCGAAGCCACTGTACCATTCATCAAAGGCTTACGGAAACTCTGAACACACACAGCATTTCAGAATGTAAAACTCACCCTGCCTAAAGTCCTTATTAAAGAGTTTCCAGTTCCCAGGCCTCATGCCAGAGCACTACTGGCTGAGATTGGGCATACGGGTTAGCAAATGCTTTGAACTTGAACATAAGAACGGCCATACTGTATCAGACACATGGCCCATCTAGCCCAGTATCCTGTCTTCTGAGAGTGGCCAGTGCCAGATGCTACAGAGGGAATGAACAGAACAGGGTAATTATCGAGTGATCCATCCCATATCGTCCAGTCCCAGCATCTGGCAGTCAGAGGCCTAAGGACACACAGGTGCCAATTTTCCAAAGTGCTGGGGGGGCTCAACCCCCAGCTCTGCCCCAGGCCCCACTCCACCCCTTCCCCCAAGACTCCACCCCTTCCCTGCCTCTTCCCGCCCAGTTCTGCTCCCTCTCCCGAGCAGGCCGGATTCTCGCTCCTCCCCCCTCCCTCCCAGAGCCTCCTGAACACCATGAAACAGGCTGGAGGCATGGGGCAGGAGCTGGAGGTGCTGATCCGCGGGGCCTGCCGGCGGGCAGGAGGCACTGAGGGGGTTGGGGGGAGCTGATGGCGGGCTGCCGGTGGGTGGAGCACCCACAGAGTCTGCCCCTATGTAAGGACACCCAGAGCATGGGGTGGCGTCCCTGACCATCCTGGCTAATAGCCATTGATGGACCTTTTCTCCATGGACTTACCTAGTTCTTTGTTTGAACTCTCATATGCAAGCAGGCAACTATAGGGTTACATTGTGCCTCTAGGCACCACCCTACGCAAGGGGTGGTATATCAACTGTGCCACCTCTGGAAAAGCCCAGGGGCAGAGGCACGACTTTTATTTTTCCCCGTAGGTGCTCCACCCCTGCTTCGCCCTGAGCCCCCCCATTCCACTTCCCTCCCCCGAGGCCCCACCCGCCCATTGCTCACTGCTCTCCACTCTCCCCCAAGCATCTCTCTCCAGCTGCCAAACAGCTGATCAGTGGTGCCGCAGAACAGCTGTGGCTGGTGGGTGCTGAACACCCACTGGTTTTTTTCCATGGGTGCTTGAGCCCCAGAGCACCCCCGGAGTCGGCGTCTATGCCAGGGGGCATCATAGTTCAGAGACACCCCTCTGTGTTACAGTCCCTCCCCTGCTTCCCCCTTGCTCTGCAGGGTAGTGATTAACTACAGGCCCGGACCAGCCACAAATTACAACACCCCGTGTACTGGCTGGGCTGCTCTGGTCAGGGAATAGTGGGAAGACGCAGCAACTGCTGACTCCTGCCTGCCCAGTCCCCAGCTCTGGGTAACATGCAGAGATGCAAGGAGAGTCGCTCCCCTGCACAGCCCTATCATCCAAACCACAATCTGGGCCACTCAGGTTCAAAGATGTTCCCAGCCTGTGCCGACGTGTATTAAAGTCCTCAGCAAAATAGGCGTGTTTTGTACAGTGCATGCCCTGGGCGTGGAGGGACAGGCCAATGTAAAGTCTGTTTCGTTGACTGTTGACATTTTCAACCTTTCAGAGGTTTGTTTGGATTTTGATTTTCCTGTCGTTCTAGGGATTTGTTTTGTTTTGTTTAAACCACAACATCCTTTTAAGACCATTTCCCTGGAAATGATTGATGTGTATTTTCAACCTTAACTCCAACGTAAAGAAGCTTTTCGTCATGGAATACGGAGAGATCTGGGGAGCGATACAGTATCGTGTGAAAGCAGAGTGGTGATAATTCCCCTGCACTCCACCAGGGGGAAGCCATGGTGCAACTGAGATAGTCATTATTAATCGCTGGTTTGCTATTATGAGCAGTAAAACAGGGAGTACAAAGGGGAGCGTGGGAGCTGGGAGAGTTGGAAGGCCTCCCATCTAAGAGACCGTCACAGGAGCTATGCATACGTGTCTTAAAGAAATGCAGGGAGCAGGGTGGCATAGGCCTCTGTGCCAGCAGCAGAGCGGAGATAATAGAAAGGAAGCTGGGAATGATTGGAGTTTAACAAGAAGCAAGAGCCCTACACACGGGAAGAGCACATTTAGATGAGGTGCCTGCTGATGCTCTGACAATGGACTGAGGTCAGGGAGGTCCCATCAGTGGAAATGCTCACAAAGAGCCCAGATGAGACAGGCAGAGCAAGCAGAGGGAGCTGAGCTGGGTTGCGGTGGCCTGTGAGCTCCGTTCCTGCTAGCGATTGGTACTGGAGAAGCAAGGGCATTTTGGAGAGACCCATGAGAAACAGGCAGTGCTGATTGCCAGGGCAGGCGAGCCGGGGGCTGAGGCCAAGCAGGGTAAATTGCTGGCTAGCGAGTTGGCTCCACACGTCGCTGACAAGAAGCAGAGTAACCAAGTGCTCTGGTGGCTAAATCACAGAGCTTATAAATATGCTATTCTGGGTGGCTGGCAGGTTCGGTCCTTTAGCTCAAATGGTAGAAGCCTGTGCTTTTTGTACAGACAGTCCTGGGTTCAAAGCCACTGGTGGCCTGAAGAGACTCATTTGCTGTGTTGATGCAGCACCTGTCCCCAGCAGGCCCTGCCTGCCCACAGCTCTGTGCCAGTTCTTCCCCAGCCTCAACTAACACACCTGTGCTGGTTCCCAAGCTGAGGGGGCAGTCAGGAGGTGACAGCAGGGGAGACAGGCTATGCAGCTAATTGGCTGTCCTAAGCTCCTTCTCCGCTGCAAGCAGCGTGATGGGGCCTGTGCATAGGGTTCCCAGGGCTCCCGCGCCAGCTGGGGGCGGGCCTCATATTCCAGGAGATGTGGTCTACCAGTCTCCAGACCCCTCCTCCCAGCAGGCTAGCACACATGCTGGATGGGGGGCCATCTCAGCCAGCTCTTGTGCCTGAGCCGTGCATGGCAGCGCTTGCCCTCTCTCAGGCAAGGGTGGGATTTTGTCTATTGTTCTTGGAGGGCACTAAGTTGGACGCCGATGTGAAATGCTAGCCCAGCTCTGCAAAGCTGTCCAGACACACAGAGGGCTCCAGAAGAAACTCACCTCCCTTTCTGACCATACACACCTTCTCTACTCCCAGACCAGAACCTGGCCCCACCGAAGCCCAGGGAGTTTTGATGATTATCAGGAAGCAGGTTGATAATCAGCAGAGCCTTGCCTCGGAGAGCTTGACCCTGCATGCTTCCCTCTCACCTCCCCTTGGCTGGGGCAGCAGCTGATTGAACCTGGTCTAAAAGCATGAGCTTCTACTGGTTGAGCTAAAGGACCAGCTCTGCCATGTGGAAACAGCAGCTGCCGCCTAAGAAATCTCTTTATGGGGAACAGCCGCAGAGGGGCACGTAGCCGGTGCTGTGTTTCGCATTACACTCACATCAGGGCTGCAGGATCGGCCCTGGCTATTTAAGCAATATTGTAACATTCCTCAGAGGCAGATGGAAACCAGCCTTATCCACCCATCCTACTGCTGTGATCTCCCCTCCCCGGGAGCCTCCAACCCCCCTTCCTCACTGCAGATTTACGCTCTGCCCTGACTACAGATGCCTCTTGGGTCTGCAGAGTCCCGAGCTGCCCAATGGGGAGAAATGAGCCCAGTCTCCTCCTCTGGTCCCATCTTGGGGAGGGAGGGGGAGAGAGGGGCCGGGGAGAAGGGCAGCTATAGGAGGAGGTGCTCAAAGACTGAACATAAATCATAGATACCCTGGTGATGTGACAGGTAGATAGACAGATCTCTGGGTCTCTCCCTGGCGATGGTGCTTACCCCATGCTAAGCTCTCCAGGCTGACTCTCCATTCTCTGTCCCCCCTCAGCTCTCCCCAGGCTCTGAGGATGACGAGGGACATGACAGCTCCAGCAGGGAGAACCTCGGCCGAATCCAATTCAGCGTCGGCTACAACTTCCAGGAATCCACTCTGACTGTCAAGATCATGAAGGCTCAAGAGCTGCCAGCCAAGGACTTCAGCGGCACCAGTGACCCTTTCGTCAAGATCTACCTGCTGCCTGATAAAAAGAACAAGCTGGAGACCAAAGTGAAGAGGAAGAACTTGAACCCGCACTGGAACGAGACCTTCCTCTTCGAAGGTAGGCAGCAGAGGCCAGCAGACAGGGCGTGGGCCAGGAGC